TCGTTCTTCTGCAGAGTAGCTGGTGCATTTGAACCATGTGCCTTCACGATTGTAGCACAGTGGTGGCAATTCTGATAATAGTAACAGTGCACCTATCTTACATTGTTGTTATGTACTGTTGAGTTGGAACCAACCCATAGTTGACTCTCCAGTGGGTTTTCAGTGGCTATAAATCGCACTAGGAGATTGCTCATCTCCCTCAGAGCACCTGGTGGGTTTGAACTGTGTGTCTTTGGGTTGGCAGCGCAGTTCCTTACTACTAGGCTTCCAGAGCTCACATGTAGATAGGGCTTCAGACGGGCTGGTCACTCATCTCAGTGCTTGTACTTATGCTTCACTGTCCCAGCAACTTTATGAGATATTGCTCTTATCATCCCCATTTTGCATATCAGGACACTGAGGCACAGAGAGGTTTTAGTAACTTTCTTAAGGGCACATACATAGTGTCAGAGCTGAGTTCAGGCCCATGCACGTGGGCTCCAGAGATGCCTGTGGTCTTCCCGGCTCCACCAGGCTTCTCTCCTAGCTGTAAGTACCTCACATGCAAACCCTGTACCAAGCACTGCTCTGAGATTGTTCTTAGGACCATCCTCATGACCGCTGCTATATGTGATCCCACTGGTGCAGTTGCTGGGTCAGACCATCTCATGGAGGCTCTTCCTGTTTTCTGGTTGACCAGGCATGATATCCTTATCCAGGGACTGGTTCATCCTGATAACATGTTCTAGCCAGATGCGATGAAGCCTTGCCATCCTCACTCTCAAGGAATATTCTGGCTGCGTGCCATCAAGACGGATTTGTTCATTCTTCTGGCAATCCAGGATATATGTTCAATAGTCTTGGCCAACAACTTAGTTCTAAGGCCCCAGTTCTTCTTTGGTTTCCCTTAAGCTTTATCACTGGATTGTATATGTTGTTGTTGTTGTTTTTATGTTCCATCGAGTTGCTTGAGACTCATAACAACCCCTACATGCAAGAGCCCTAAACCCTGCTCTATCTTGTGCCAGTCACAGTGTCTCTGACACACCCATCCCGATTACCCCAGTCACTGAATCAATCCACCTCATAGGGGGCCTTCCCCTCCTGTGCTGTCCCTCCACCCTCCCAAGCATGATGTCCCTCTCTAAGGACCAGTCCCTCTTTACAACATGTCCAAAGTATGTTAGATGGATCCTCAGAATCCTTGCCTCCAAGGAGCCGCCTGGTTTAACCCTTTCCAAGATGAATCTGTTTGTTTTCTTGGCAGTCCATGGTACCTTCAATACTTTTCTCCAGCACCACAGCTCAAAGGCATCAATTCTCCCTCTATCCTCCTTAGTCATTGTCCAACTCTCTGATGCATAACAAGTGATAGCAAAGACTATGGCCTGTATCAGACGCACCTTAGTCTCCAGAGAGATACCATTGCTCTTCAGTATTTTGGAGAGGTCCCTAAAAGCAGACTTTTCCATGGCAATACGTCTTTTAATTTCCTGGCTACTGGTTGTATATGAGACAACTTAAAATATTATTGCTTGGATCAGACACCTCTGAGTCCACCAAAGAATAGTTTTGAACACTTTAAAGAGGCTCTTTGCAACACATTTGCCCAATAAATATATAATATGATTTCTCCACGGTACTGCCTTGGGAGCTCTGGTGGCCTAGTGGGTAAGGAGTTGTGCTGCCAATTGAAAGGCAGCGTGTTTGAATCCACCAGTTGCTCTGTGAGAAAAAGGTGAGTAATCTCCTCTGATGAGATTTACAGCCTCTGAAAACCTGCTAGAAGATCAGCTGTGAGTGAGTTCATCTCAGCCACACACAACCCACTGCCAAAGGCATTGATTGTGAATCCAACTTAAATGAAATCCTAGGAAACCAGAGACTTAGGAAGAAGAGGGCATTTGCCCGAAGCCTCATGGTAATGGTGGAACTGAAAGTTAGATCTCATCTCCTGGCCTCAAAAAACCAAAACCTTAGGCTTTTCACCAAACTGTCCCTCATATGAAAATGTTCCAAGCTCAGGGCATTTCAGGGTAAGGAAAGAATTGACTAGCTGTGTGTCCAAGTTTCCAGAAGTATCCAGCTTAACAGGACAGGTTTGCTGATGCCATGTTAAGTCTAAATCAAATCAAGCCACTTTGGGTCCAGAAAAGAGTAGATGTTTAAAGGAACCTCTTTGGCCTCAGCCCCGCCCCACCCCTTAAGGCCAAGACTCACCCCTTAGTTTTTACCTTCTGCACTAATGTGAAAGAAGATCCAGGAAGTGTCAACAGGAACGTCTTGGCAGAATAGCTCCGTTCCACCCAGCAGTTGTTACAACCTGCCTGTGGGAGTTAATAGAGAGGAAGCAGTCCCTGGGGCTCCGGGAGGCTGGCTGGCTGCCCGCCGAGGATACTTGCTGCAAGGTTAGACACTGAGGTGGATGGGGAATCAGGAGGCAGCTCGGCCTGGCATGGGGCCAACCTCTCATTCTTGCAGCAGACTTGGGAGGAGTTATTTGCCCCCTACCAGTTTGAGCTGCCCCCGGCTAATTTTGCCAGTCGGCTCAGAGTGATGCCATCTCTGTCAAGGAAGGTGGGGAGGGATCATTGATTCACCTGTAACCTTCACATCTGACCTGGAGGTCAGGATGGGGACCTGGTTGATAGTGGGGAAAAATAAAATGTTCTTAAGCGATGACCAGTTGCTGCTCCTCCTCCAGTTACAGCTCTAACTCCTGACGGCCTCATGCATGTCAGGCTAAAAACTGTGTCTCTTAGGGTTTTCAAGTGGCTGATGTTTCTGAAGAAGATTCCAAGGCCTTTTTTCCAAAGTGCCTCTGAGTGGATTAGGACATCTAACCTTTTGGTCAGTGACTGATGACACCACCTAGGGACTCCTTTAAGAAATTGGGAGTCAAAGAATTAGGAGACAGACTTGATGATACAAAATTGAGACGGACAGCAGAGTTACTAGTATTGTCTGTACAATAGGGGAGGGGAGTTGATGTGAATAGCTGTTGTCTTTAACAGGCATTTAAGGACCACCCCTCCTTTTGTTGTTGTGAGGTGCCGTTGTGTCAGCTGTGACTCCTGGTGATCCCATGAGCAGCTTGTCCTGTCCTGCACCATCCTCACAGCCTCTGCCATGGTCAAGGCCATTGCTACAGTCACTGTGTCAGTCTATCTCACTGAGCATCTTCCTTTCTTTCATGGACCTTCTACTCCTTGCAGCCAGATATCTTTTATCAGGAGACTCCCTTTCTTGGCTTCAGTGCAGTTTGAGGTAGAAAAGAAAGACAGGTGCTTAGAGATTCAGCGATCCTGTTGCAGAGCAAGACCGCCATAGATGCAAAGTCCCTCCCATTCCAGTCCCCGTCTCATTTATACCATGACGTAAGCATGCCAGCCCCTCCTTGATGGGATGTATCAGCCCCCAAACTCCCTCTCCTGCTAGCTCCTATTATTAGATGACTTTTCCTTTATTTAGCCAGTGAATGCTACTTCTCTCTAGTTTCTGCATTCTCTCTTCAAGGCGCTTTGATTTCTCCACATGCCAGTTCTACAGATATTTGGAGCTAGCTATTGGGTGCTTCTCAGCAGAAAGAGAACACACTGCCTTTATAATCTCAAAGTCAATGCTGTTCTCTCTGTGTTCCCACTGCATGTGGTAAATGCCTCTCTTCAGTTCTTCTCACACTGCATCTACCTAGTTATCTTTGTATTCACTGGCAACTAATATTCACTGAGCATGAGGTGGTTTCATGTCTCTCTCTATACCCTTAAGTGTATGTCACTGCTGCTCAGAACAGACTCATAGCTGACCCTCCAGTGGGTTTTCAGAAGCTATCAACTGCATGGGAGGAGACTGCCCATCTTTCTCCTGCAGAGCATCTGGTGGATTCAAACCACTTGTCTTTGGGTTGGCAACACAACTCCTTCCCCACTAGGCCACCAGAGCTCCTGTACACAGAGATATATAATGTGCATATTAATGATGCTTTTGTAAGGCAGCGGTGAGGAGTGAATAAGGGAAATGACACGCAGTTGGTGTGTAATAGAGAGTCCTGGTAGTTGAGTGGTTAAGCTTTCAACTGCTAAATGAAAGATTGATGGTTCAGACCTGCCCAGCAGCTTCCTGGAACGAAGACCGGGTGTTCTCCGTCCATAAAGATTATAGGCAAGACAGCCTTCCTGCCATGTCACGTGGGCTCCAGATCACCTCGGGGCAGCCAGCAACGGCAGATGAGTAATGCCTGGGAGCTCTTGACATTATAACAATCCTCCCAAGGTCCGTCCATCCCATTTTTGGCAATGCGGATGATGATGGCATTCTTTATTGACTATAAACTACATCCCAGACACTGTTTCAAGCATTTTGCGTCCATTATCTTGCCTAACTCCTTCGAATCAGGGGTTTGGAGCTATTATTACTGGTTTTATAGACGAGGAGCTGGACATTAGGGACAGAGTTATTTGCCTGCAGTCATAACAGCCATAAACCATAGACCTGGGACTTGAACTGTTCATTCCGGCTTCGGAGTCCCCACTCCTGCCCTCTCTCTTCCACCACTAGGACGTTGAGGGAAGGTGGGGTGCATCAGGACTCGGTGACAATTCCAGATGGAGTGAATGCATGCATGCATTTTTAGGTTCCATATGTGCAATGATGGTTAGGCAAGGGTGTTTCTAGAAGCACATTCTAGGAAGCCAAAGAATTGTCAGGCGAATGTGGAGAGAGGGCAGGGAGAGGTCAAGGCTGCAATAAGGTGCAGCCCCAGGGTGTGAGCATAGTATAGGCATCTCCAGGGCAGGCTAATGTGTGCATTCAGGATAATTAACCTGGATGTTGGCTGTGTTCTCTGCCTTCTTGCCTTCTTCCAACGTCTTTCATCAGATCCTTGCTCTTAAATATCCCAGTTGGCTCCCAGGTGAGAAGTCAATTCCAGGTGCCCTGGGGGCTAGCATGCTGGCCTTGACGCCATCCCTGTGTGGTTGAGCCCTCCATGACCTGCCTGTCTCTGCTTTGTCTCTCTGCAGTGATCCGCGCCAAGGTGGTGGGGAAGAAGCTGGTGAAGGATGGGCCCTTCGGCACGCTGGTCTACACCATCAAGCAGATGAAGGTGAGTGACGTCAGCCTGGCACTACGTGGAGGGCTTCTGGGGTTTTGCCAGAAGAGTCCTGGCCGAGGAAGGCTAGGCGTGTTGAGGGATGTGGGGTGTGTGTTTGCTCAGTGTTTGAATCCCAGCCTTTCTGTTCTGCTGAGACTGCAGAAAGGGGTGAAGGTCAAGGGAGGGACAGTGACTGCTTTGTCCCAAAGACAGGAAGGGTGGAGCGGCTCAGAGGTAGTAATTAAGGGGCTGAGCTCTGGAGGCCCGCAGGAGACACCTCACCTTTGTTACCTGGTCCCTCGCAACTCAAGGCGCCTCACTGTGCCTTTAGTCTTTGCGTCTGTCACATGAGGGAGCTGGATGGCCTTGTGTTTAAGGATTCCTCTGCGCACCCAGTGCTAAGTTGTCCTGCAGTCCTCAAGGCACAGGGTTCAAATCTACCAGCTGCAGCACAAGAGAAGGCTAGGCAATCTCCTGTGTGATTTACTGCTCTGAAAACCTGCTGGAGCTACGGGTGTTTTCTGACTCCATTGAGCACTGAGAGTCTGTCTGACTTGGACCACTGCTTACAGGTTTCCTGCCTTGGCCAAGGTTACAACTCACACTTGTGCCCTTCCATCAAATCTTTACAGTGAGCGGGTGCTGGTTTCAGGGGCCTCATTCTGAGAAGGAGAGACGGCACCTCCTTCCCTCATTTATCCAGCTGCTTCCCAGCTGGTCAGAAAGATTTAGTGAGCATGCTGATATCGCTGAGCCCAGTACTGCATACATGAACACATGAAGAACGTTAAGGAAATGCACCTTTAAGAGAACATCAGATTGGAAATGTAGAGCTCCTGCCTCGAGGTCTCAGCTCCACTGCTTTCTAGGACTCAGCCCTTCCCCCCGGGCTCGATTTCTTCATCCTTTATTTACAGTGTGAGGTTAGGCTCTGTATTCCTAAGAGCAAGTATAGCTCTGACATTTCAGAATTCAAAGCACCCAGCCTTTTTTTGGGAAGCTGGTCGTGGATGCTGCAAGGGTCTCATAGAGTCCCTTGTTCACACAGCCTCTGAGTGCAGAGCTGGGGCCTCACTTGGGGATAACTTAGAAACTGGTTGATCCATCACCTTGCTTTGCTAAGCACATCTCTTCATGGAAACCCTGTGCCAGGAGCCATGGGGGTTGAAAGGAAGACATATGTGTGATGAATGAGCAGGGTGGCTATGCTCAGGTCCAAGGCCAAGTCCAGGCCTTTTACCAGTTGTTCATATCTGCATCTTCCCAGTTGAGGCAGGGCTTGGCTCACCTGGAGTAAAAACCAATTGCTGTCAAGTCGACTGTGGAGACCCCTAGTATGATAGAATGTGCATCAGGGTTTTCAGCGGCTGATTTTTTTAATTTTTAATTGGTTTGCCATGCCTTTCTTCTGAGGTACCTCTGGGTGGACTCAAACCTTCAACCTTTAGCTGTGAGTGTGTTAACTGGTTATACCGCCAGGAAACTCTATAAGATTTAATAGATACAAACTTTCCAGTAGAGAGGATGAGGGTGAGACTCAACTGAACAGAAAGCTCCCCACGGAGACAAGTTTTGAGGATCAGGGGGACCTGAGTCAGGGAAATGGCAGCCCACAAATGATACTCAGCTATCGGGTGGCGGGGGTCATCATTCCTGCTCCCAAGGCCTGAGGCTAGAAGTACTAATTCTGTGTAACCTGTTGCTTTGGATTCGATTTTGGAAACATCCACAGCTTCTGGTTATGTAATGTCCACAGTCAGCCCTGGCCGGCTGCCCTTGGCTGCCACAGCCTGGTCATGGGACCAGCTTATGTCTTCAGACAGAGGTGGGGAGAGCAGAGTGGGTGGAGGTGGAGAGCTGATGAGAACAAACACAGCCCCAGACCCCACTTTGCAGCTGTTGGCAGCTGGCAGGAGGATGCCAGAGCAGCTTAGACAAAGGGTTCAGAGGACACGTGCACAAGCCTGCTCTGGACCGGGCCTTCTCGTTAACAGGTATTTTGCAGCATCAGAGAGCTGCGAGGAGAATAACTGAGAGGCAGTGCTTTCTAAACTTGCCTAACGTCCCTCCTGCTTCCAAGAGCTGGAGCCTAGCATGACCAGCTGCACTTCCAGTGGTGACAGTAGCCCATTGCCCCCAAGGTGGTGTCAGATCAGCCACTGGTGGTTATTTAGAGGCCAAATTACTAGCCCATCAGCTTGCAAGCACACACCCACTCTAAGCCTGGCAGGTTTACTCTTTTTGCCATGCTGGTTCTTTCGTTATGCGCTGTCAAGTCAGAACCGGCCCATAGCAGATCCTCCAGGGGGTTTTCACAGGCAGATGATTGCATGGGCGAAGATTGCCCATCCTTCTTCCACAGAGCAGGATTCGAACTATGTGCCTTTGGAATTGCAGTACCACTTCTTACTGGCTAGGCCACCAGAGCACCCTATCCCTCCTCTAGGTTCATTGAATCAAGGCTGCAGGCATGGAATGGCATTTTAGTGACACAGTCCCTGCGAAGCAACAATAAATAGCAGATCCTGTTCCTAAGCAGAGGCACTGGGACTTTGTGTTCTTATCGTAATTTCAAGAATCCCCTACTGTTGTACTTTGATCGCCCATGAGTATCTAATTCCTTTGATTCCCTCTGCTCCTCCTACTACCTTAGCATGCGACGTCTCATAGCGCTGGGCAGTGCCTTTCTGTCCAGAGGAGCTACCAGGATCTGCTAGTCTCTACGGAAACCCAAATTTCCTGGTGACCCCATGTATGCAGAATAGAACTGTACTCCATTAAAAGACATGACCTTTAAGAAGCAGACTGCCAGGCCCTTCTTCTGAGGTCCCCCTAGGGAAGTTTGGAAGAACAACTTTTTGATTAGGAGTTGGGTACTTAAACCATTGTACCACTAAATCCTAGTCAGTGAATCAGAGACAGTACTGGTGTAGAAGTAATCCGTCCAGCCGGCCTCCTATCTCTTCCGTCCTCCTCTCTCTCCCAACTCCTTCTTTGTGCTTAGCTTGTGCTACTTATTATAATTAACCTGATTCCATACAAGTGCTTAGTGAGACTGGCTCAGGACAGGGAAGGGTTCAGAGCTGCTGTACATAGGGTTACTATGCATTGTAGGCGAATCAAACAATAACATTCTATGACAGCTTTGGAAACAGGAGTGGCATCCAATTCCTAACAACTTGCCTCGGAAACTCTGAACTTTGATAAATGTCGATAGTTGTCAAGGGGCTTCAGGCCTTTTATTCATAGGGTTGCTATGAGTCGTGCTCAACTCGAAGGCAATCAACAACAACAATAACCATACAAGTAACTTTAGTTATGCATTTGCTATGGGCCAGGCATTCTTTGAAGGCTCTGTATGGGTCAGACCTCACAGCAGCCCTGTGAAATATAGGTCCACTACTATCTTCTGTTACATAGATGAGGCGAAGAGGCAACAGAGTGGGGCAGGTTGTAAATGCAGCTGAGACCACAGAGCTAAAAAACAGTCTCTTCCTACGAGGGCAGAGCAGAGCAGCTGAGCAGAAACTCACTATCTATGTGCATTTGGGGTGCTGCACCCCTTTGTTTGTATCCAGTTCCTCCAGGGAACAAAAGATTAAATAATAATAATAATAATAATAAAGAGCCCAGCTCAGGCAGGCATGTCATTCTCCAGTGTAGCTCTTGACTTCCAACATCCTCTAAAGGGTGTATCAGAAAAATCTTGGTAGGAGGGAAGAGGGAGAGGCGAGCCTGCATGAATCTTGGCACAGAGCCCTGGGCTGCTTTGTTCTAGGGGATTAGAGAGTCTACTAGGAGTCAGACAGGGGTGAGCAGAGGCTCCCTGAAAGCAGGACTAAAGGGTCCCAGAGAATGTGAGAATCAGCAGCCCATCTGTCTCCCTTTTCTGACTTAACCTTCTTTCTACCCGAGCCCCCAGACTGACCGCCCCAGTGAAAGGAAGGTGGGCAGACCCCTGCTCATCTGCTCACTGCTGATCTGTGTTCTCGGGCATTTTGGGTGTGCAGAGACCCACAAAGGGATGTGGGGAGGAGTCGGGGGAGGGGTGCACAGGATGATGGAGTCTTGAGGGTGCTTGCTGCATACCCAAGCTTGGAGATGAGATTGGAGGGGGGGGGGCGCTGTGCTATGAAAGGGAGAGTGTGTGGAACTGGCCGCTGTCATCCGTGGGGCCCTTATCTCCCATCGGGACCTGGCCGCTGTCATCCGTGGGGCCCTTATCTCCCATCGGGACCGTGAGAAAGTGGGCCACTTTGCAGGGAGCTGTTGTTTGTGCCATGGACACACGCTCTCCGCTGGCTGCAGGGAACAGCACGTGGGGGACATTATGTCCCAGCCGGTCCCGGGGACAGTCCCATGGGGAGACCCGCTGGTCAAGCTCTGCATGGATGACAAGTGGGCAGGACAGATCTTCTGGCAACTGCAGTGCTTGGCTCTGGGGACTTCCTTCCCTCAGGGGTTTGTCTGATCACATGACCAGTAGTAGCTGGTGGTGTAGTTCTTAGGGCGCTGAGCTGCTAACATAGTAGCCAAGCCTCTCTGGTGGTTCGAATCCACTAGTGGCTCCGAGGGAGAAAAATGATCAATCTCTCCTCATGTAATTTGCAGCCTGGGAAACACAGTGGAGTCCGCTATGAGCTGGCATAGACTTGACAGCAGTAAGTTTTGAGTGTTTCCTTTGAAGGGACCCTCTTTCCTCCTCTAACCTCCCGTGACTCTTAGTTCCAGGCTCACATCTTGCGTCCCGCAGTAATGAACTTAGTTCTCGGAAGTTCTCCCTCCCTTCACCCCTTCTGCCAGGATAAGATGGTGCCATTTAGATCTTGGTCAAACACCACTTGTCTCCAAACCTCAGCTGCAAATGCGACTACACTGTGGCTTCAGAGGTAGCCTTCATAGAGCAGCATTCAGTGCAGCGAGCATGAAAGAGACATCTGACGTTGATATACTGATGCTTCATTTGTCCGTGTGGGGCACAGACCAGAAGTGGCCTAAGGAATACGTGAACGCTCCTGGACCCAGAAAATTCTTTCCGTATTTGTCTGAACGCGCCAAGGAAGCTATATTGTGGAATTTTGTGGGGGTACCAGGAAGTGGGGAGGGATCCAGAGGCAGGTAGCTACCCCCCTGGATAAAGAGACCACTTCCACTTGTAGTTCAGAATGGCTTGGACTGTGTACACCAAGAGACAAGGTTGGGCAAAAGCACTTACATAGAAGGGGCCAAATCCTTCTCTCTTCTCGCTCTGAATTCTCGCAAAATTGAGTTTAAGCTAACTTTCACTTATATGCTGTTTGTGAAAGGCTAGTCTAATTCATTTCATCCTTAAAACCATCTAATATAGAAGTGCTCTGCCCTATTTAACAGATGAGGAATTTGAGGATTAAGAGAAATTGCCAGCTAAATAATGGAGACAAGATTCGAACCACAGATTCCTGTCTCCAGGCCTGAATTTACCACCAACCTTCCGTCACCAACCTCAAGTCCACTGCCACAGACTTGGTCCCAGATCTTTGAGACCCTCCTTTGGCCTTCCTGGGCTATAAATCTTTATAGGAAGACACTGCCTATCTTTCTTCCAAGGAGCGGCTGGTAGATTCAAACTGCTAACCTTTCGGTTATCAGCCTAAAACATTACATACTATGCCACCAGGGTTCCTTAATTCTCCATTGTATTGGTTTAATTTGCTTATCTGTAACATTCCTTCCAATTAGGAGCGTGGCTGACTTAGTTGGTAAAGAGTTGTGCTATAAACCTGAACGCAAGTGGTTTGAGTCCAAGGGTGAAAAATGTGATTTACAGACTCTGAAAAGCCTCTGGAGGATCTGCTATAAGTTAGTTCCAACTTGACAGCACATTAACACCATCAGCCTGGTTCTCTGATCTCAGATCACTCTAAATTTGTCAAACTGATTGGAGAATTCTACGACTACAGACCTAATGATACTCTTGAGTCAATATTTAGCTTCATAGGGTATGATCATGAAGAAAAGACAACTAAATAAGATCTACTTTCACTATTAAAATAAGCAAAAAGACAAACTACCATGATCAAGTCAACTCCAGCTCTTGGAGTATGTCAGAGGGGAATTTTACTACATACGATTTTCACGGGATGTGATCCTGTAGAAGCCTATTGCCAGGCATTTTTCTCATTGCCTCTGGTTATTAACTAGTCTTCTGATTAATAGCAGAGCTCAAACCAATTATGTCCCTCAGGAGCCCCAACCTTTACCATACCCCAGCCTTATTCCTACTTTTAGAATTGATCCTAAAATGTAGCATAACATTTTGATTCTGTCAGAGATGCCAAAAGCAACTTTAAGAGAGAGTTTCCTTCAAACTCAGAAGCAATAGCAACAGCAAGACCACATTTATGTCAAGCTTTCTTTTCTTTTCTTTTTCCCTTTTTTGTTGTGTACCATCGACTCGGATCCAAGTAGCACAGGAGGAGATTGCCCCTCCTTCTCCAGCAGAGCATCTGGTGGATTCAAACCACACACCTTCAGGATTGCAGTGTAGCTTCTTGCCACTAGGCTGCCAGAGTTCCCAATGTCAAGCTTTCTTGACTGACCAAGTTTCCCCACTCTACACAGAGTTGGGTTCTCATCTATTAAGCAGAGAGGAGATAAGATACAGGGCAAAGCAGGATGTCCTTGGAAAGATCTGCTCCAGGAGAGCAGGCCCAAGAGAAGCAGGGCATGAACTTAGTTCAGACATCTGCCAAAAACTCGAGGGAAAACCCACACCTGACTGAGAAGCTGCTCCATGTGGCAGTGAGCGAGAGAGCATAGGATGGTACTGGAACACATGCACACTGCAGTCCTCCGGAACTTGGCATTTTTTCGCACCCCAGAGGCGTCATCCCTCATCATGGAGGGCGTGACTGGACACCCCACTCCTCTAGGACATAACTGAAAGCTGAGGGTAGAGAAAGCTCCCCGGGCATGGCTGCCTTTCTTCAGTTTGCTAGCATGCCTCAGGGAGACCAGGTAAACCGGAATTGTGTACCTGCATGTGAGTCCATTAGAAGAGCCTTCTCCTTACACGACTCGGAGGCTCCCAAACTCTGCAGGGCCGAGAGAGACTGCTGTGTGACAGGAATGGCCCTTGGGGACAGCCATATACCCTCACCAGCTAAGTTGCCATTTCAGAGATAAAGAGGAAGGAGGGAAAATTGGCCCAAACAGGAGGTATTTAGATGAGACTCCAGTGAGGTGATGTCTGGCTTTTTATGAACTGCCATATGTAAATTAATAAACTGTGCCAAGAACTAAAGTGGAGACATCACCCTATTATAAGCCCTTAGGGCCAGTCCAGAGACCACCAGCACTCCGGGGCCTTTGAAGGCTGGGAACTGGAGGGGTGGCAGGACCAGGCAGCACCTGCAGGCTCACATGGAGTTGTCTGGACAGATCCACGCCTGTGAAACCCTCCCGCCCTTGACCTGGAGCCACAGAATGACCACCCAGCAGCAATTGCCTCAGACCAATTAGATTATGGAATTGCTGATTCTGCAGGCAAAACAGACCCCCAAGCCTCCATTTCAGCTTCTTATTCATTCTTAAATGTTTTGTTAAAAATCTGTGCGTTTTTTTGTGCTTTGTTTGGAGCTGCCGATGGACTAGTCTGTAGGGCACTGTGTTGTTAAACCAGCAGCTGTGCCTCTCTGGTGGTTCGAATCCACCAGTGGCTGCTTAGGGGAAAGACAGACAGTCTCCTGCTGTGTGATCTAGAGTCTGCAGAACCCACTGGAGGGTCAGCGATGAGACCTTTCTGACTTGACGGCAGTGGGATGGAGGGAGAGATGTCAGTAAAGGGGCTTGGGGCTTTCATCAGATGCTCCATGGATAGAGCTGATCCCAGAGAATCTCTGCTGAACCCCTTATCTGTGAAATGAGCACAATGACGCTTAGGTCTCGGGGTTCTTGGGAGGATGCCAGGAGGGGAGTGTAAGTGAGAATGCTTTTGAAGCATGTTACAGAGAGGACATAAGCTGGCATCGCTCATGGCCAGCAGGACCCTTCACAGCAGCTCCTGTGAGATTCTGAAAAGGTCGTTGGGACTTCAGGAAGGTGTGTGCCCAGGAGGATATTTGGGGGGAGTTGGGGAGGGGAGAGATGTGTTGGATAAAGAGGCTTCTCTGGAACTTGTGGCTTTGAAAAAAAAAGAGGACATGTGGTCTAATCAGGTGATAAGGACCTTAACTCAGGGGCTGATTAGGAGAACCATCTTCCCTGAGACCGATGACCACACGTTCCCTGGACCCGGAGCCTTTTCTCACACCGTTCTTTCTTTCCACCCACAGATGTACCGAGGCTTCACCAAAATGCCCCACGTGCAGTACATCTACACGGAGGCTTCCGAGAGTCTCTGTGGCCTTAAACTAGAAGTCAACAAGTACCAGTACCTGCTGACAGGTAACAGCCAACTGGAGCACTTAAGCCATGTCTGGCCAAGACCAAGGACCCCTTCACCTGGGGCGGGTGGAGAAGGAGGAGAAGGCCCCTGGCAACCCGAGGACAAGGGGCCATGTGTCATCAGGATGTGAGGAGCATCGAGAACCATGTCTGGCCCAAAGGCGAGAGCTTGAGGCTCCACCACTTAGGCTGGCCTCGGACTTTCCTTCCATCACTGACGAGTGGGAGCAAGCTCCTCGTTTGGGAGCTCTTCCGCTTTACGACACGCAAAGAAGGATTGTAAATGCCTGTTCCTCTTCCATTTCCAGCCAGCCTATTAAGTTTGCCCTTCAGAGTTTTCCATCCTTAGCCCAGCAGCAAAGAGAAAAATCAAACTTAAATCCAAAGTTCCCTAAGCCCTCCAATAAGAGTCGATGAGAGAAGTGAAGCTTGAACTCTAGATTCAGAGCCAGAATTGGATGGCTTTGGGGCCTTCAGAATATTGAATCCCTCTGACCGTTGTTTTCCTCATCTGGAGAATGGGGATGCAGTCTGCCTTATGAGGGTTTGAGAAGGATAAAGCAGGATCATTAGTAGGTGTGAATTCTTTTCCTTCTGGCTGGACTCTGGACAAAATAACCCTTCATGATCTTTGCTTTTCTAGGCCGTGTCTATGATGGCAAGATGTACACAGGGCTGTGCAACTTTGTGGAGAGATGGGACCAGCTCACCCTGTCCCAGCGTAAAGGGCTCAACTACCGGTACCACCTGGGCTGTAACTGCAAGGTGAGCCCTGGGGAAGGGAGGAGGGGGTGAGGAGGAGCTGGATGCAGCCCTGGACCACATCAGCTCCTGCTGCACGGGATGTGGGGTCTTTATGTGGGGCATGAACATGGTCGTCAGAGGGTCAGGGATGTGGTGTCCACACAACCCGGGGAGGGATGACTTCCTGCTGCCTCCTGCCCCCTCCATGTTGTCCATTCAGCAGCTGCCAGGCTTCTCCCGCATCACTGGCCCCTTGCAAGGGTACAAAGAATTGGCAGGTACAGGATCCTTGCCACCATGTGCCCTGCTAGGATGGCACACATGGGGACATAGAGGCAGCTGACTTGTAGTGCCTGCCCTGATGTGCAAGCCAGCACAGGACCATGAATGGCAGAGAATAGAGGAGGTCATGCTCCAGCGAGGCCTAACCCCTTGACCAAGCACAGCCTCTTCCCTGGTGTGAGAGTCGGGCCTCTCTCCCACTTAATTCTCACAGCAGTTCTATGTGGTCACATCACTGTTACTTGACATGTGAGGAGGCTCAGAGAGGTTATGTAACTTCCCTGAGGTCACACAGCTTTAAAAGTGTGGCTCCTAAAGCAGAGAAGCTTTCATATTTCATATTTCATGCTTCCAAATTGCCAGTCCCTCAATTTCCTGAAACTGAGAATTCCCATCTTTACCTGTTAATACTTGAGTGTGGTTTAGAGGGAATCTTCTCAAATGTCTAACTTTACTACTTTACTGGCTGTGTGACCTAGGGCAAGTTACCTAACCTCTTTGAGTTCCTGTGTCCTCATCCGTGAAAGGGGGCCCAGACTGCTAGGGGAACTAACAGAGATGACAGAGGGTCAGCTGTGCATCGGTTCTGACTCAACGGTTAACAGCAATGATATCATCACTAAGGGGTTTCTGTAGCTCGGATTCCCCTTGAAGTTAGCGCATGTTCTTAATCCAGACTACAGAACGCATCAGCCACCCCACACCCCACCCCTGGGTCCCCTTCCCCTGGCAGAGCCGCCAACCTTTGCCTCTTGTCTCGTTGCAGATCAAGTCCTGCTACTACCTGCCTTGCTTTGTGACCTCCAAGAACGAGTGTCTCTGGACCGACATGCTCTCCAACTTCGGTTACCCTGGCTACCAGTCCAAACACTACGCCTGCATCCGGCAGAAGGGTGGCTACTGCAACTGGTACCGAGGCTGGGCCCCCCCGGACAAAAGCATCATCAATGCCACAGACCCCTGAGCAGCAGACCCTGCCCCACCTCACCTCCCTCCCTTCCCGCTGAGCCTCCCTCGGACACTAACTCTTCCCAAATGATGATGACAATGAAATTAGTGCCTGTTTTCTTGCAAATTTAGCACTTGGAACACTTAAAGATAAATCTATTGGATGGGGTTGGTTTCGGAGTTGTTCTCCCGGGCCCGCTCTGCCCCTTTCTTTTTGGTTTGGACATCGCCACCCATTTCTCGTGGGAGTGCTTGGCACCAGGGCAAAAAGAAAAGAGGGATGCCTCTTCCTTGTGAAAATATAATCTATATTTTTTTAGGAAAACAGAAATTGAAAAATTATCCCATTGGGGCATTGTAATAGTCGCCCCTCTTTCTTCTTGCCCCCCTTCCCTTGCCCACACCTGCCTCCCTTTTCCTCCACTCCTCTGCCCCAGTACATAAAGGACACAGAAAAGGAAGTTGCTGAAAGACCAGCTGTTTCCGAATCAGTCAAAGGCAGCAAGCGAATAGACTGAAGGTCCAGAGAGGATGTTAGATATTAGACATCGAGGAGATGCTACTGCATATCCCACCCAGCTTGGAGAGAGGGAGGGGAGAGAAGAGTTTGCTAGAGAGGGTCCATTATGATGCAGGACACACAGAGTTCCCCCAGCTCAGAGATGCTTGGCTTGACCAGAGGGTGGGCCCAGGGGGAGCCATGTTTCTGAGCCTGGCCTAAAGCAGCCAGACCAGAAGGTCAAGAGGCCATTTGCCTGCCTTGTAAAAAAGCTCTTGAGGTGCCCAGGAGGTGCATTACAGTTAAGCGTGCAATTGCTAATCCAAAAGGTTGGCAGTTCGAACCCACCCAGAGGCGCCTCAGGAGAAAGCCCTAGTGAGCTGTCAGACCCCTGAAAACCCCTTAGGAGCGCAGCTTCCCTCTGCTCACCTGGGGTCCTCATGAGTCAGAAGCCACTCAGCGGTGACTGGATTTTGTACAAAAGTTCAGGTGTGAAACGGATGTCTTTCTTCTCCCTGCCTCTCCTGGGATTGGATCCTGGGGAACTCATTGGTCAGTGTGGCAGAGAGCGCGCCTTTATGTAAACTGGAGGCAGGTGCACGGCAGACGCCATCCACAGACGTCGCCACGTAGATTTGGGTAGTGAATACTATCTCCGCAGTACCATTTAGCTCACCTAGGGGGATTGTGTTTGTATACACATTGGCATATACCCACACAGGGGACATAAGCTAAGTTTTTACAGGACACAGAATTCTGTTCAATGCTGTTAAATACGCCATTTGCTTCTTCTCCTCTATTTTGTTGTTGCTTGTCTGAAGAAAATCATGACATTCCAAGTTGATGTGTTTTCATTGTAGTTAGAATTTGAGATTTCTGCATACATACCTTCAGCAGCCCTTTCTTTCCCCCATCACTGGGGTCCTCTGACTCCTGTACCCCGCCTTGCCTTCTGCTTCATGTTGAGGGGGCTGGGATGCTTTGTTTAACTGCCTTGCTGGGTTGGCTCAGATGGGATACGTGTGTTGGGGGTCAGGGACTTGGGTGCAGGAGGGAGGGCTGTAAAGAACCCAACCTGTTACGTGACAACCTGGTCTGGGCTCCGGCGACAGTTTGCTACCCTTCACACAGTTCACTCACACAGACGGGCCACCTCCGAGGTCCTCACTTCATAGAATTAAGACCTGTGGCTACTGGAGAAAGCTGACTGCAATCCGACATGGGGTTCTTCATGATTTTTTTAGGGGGGGGGAAGAAATAAAACTATAATATAAATTCTTTTATTAAATAAAATTATTTTACATTTTAGTGTTGAAAGCTGAGAGTAGGGACCGTGTGCTTTGCAGAGTCTGGCAAGATAGAATGGTGATGTTTAGCATGGCCACTTCCTCCCTCTCTAAAGAAGATGGGTATTTATCCACTCTTATTAGTGTTTATCTCTCCAGTTCATTCCACCCTAGGAAACAGAGCTATTGATGGAAACAGGAGGGAAGAAGTAGACACCACATATTGTGTGTTTGTTTCACATACACACACACACACACACAGAGTCCAGGCTTGGGTCTCCTTAGGATTGCTTTTATGACCTTGTACTTTTCATCTTGTGGTTGTGCCATTTGACAGAGGGAGAATGGGACATGTGGAAGGAGCTGGGCCTACTCCCTGTAAGAGTTTAGATCTGGTATTTGGGAATTACTTTTTCATTTTTAACTTCAAAAGTCTTAGAAGGTGGAGCCCCTGACTCTACCCACACAAGTGCCCTCCCAGGTCAACTTCAGCATCTCTTCTGAGTAGCATCTGGCCATGTTTGGCCTTGCTTGAGTCCCTGCCTGGCACACAAGAAGGGACTTGGGGTGAGGCCTGAGCGTGAGCCACCAGAAACCTCCGTACTGAGCAGCAGAGGTGGCTGAGCGGCTGTCCTGGTGCCAGGCCTGGCGAAGAGAAGAGCGGGTCCTGGGCCAAGACAGGCCCTTTGCAGGGTGGTGGTGGCAGAGGGCAGGCTTTGAGCTTTCCAAAAGCTATAGCTTTGTTTATTTCACCTGTTCACTTACTGTATAATTTAAAGTCATTTATGTAGCTGAGACACTTCGGTATTTCAATTATATCATGGATGTTTTATTTTGCTAAATCTTGTGTCATTTGTAGGCTGTAATATGTGTACATTGTGTGGAAAAGAAAAGAAAAAAAAAATAAACCCACATGCCGCCATTTTCCTGAATCAAATTCTACAGTGGGTTGGAGGGTAAGCTGCTTCGAATGTGTAGGCAGCTAGATTGGCGAGTCGGGGAACTGGAAGAGGCTTTCAGTGGTTTCTAGAGGACGAAGAGGAAAGAAGAAGACAGTATGGACCCTGTCCTTGCCCCAGGCACTGGTCCTGAGCGATGTGCTGGCCACTCCCACTCCCTCCTCTCAGCCCCTTTGTCTGCCCAGTGGAGACATGGTCTCTCCTGAAATCACGGACAGCCATGAGAATTGATTCCAAGGTCTTTTTTTCTCTCCTCTGGCATCTCTTCTGCTTTTCAATCATGGATGCTGTACACCCAGGTTGTCACCTCTCAGTGCAGAGTTCTAACATGACCAGGATAGGCAATGCTAGGAGACGCCTGTCAACCCTTACTGGGCCCCGAGACTACATCACGCCAGTGGAACACTATTTTCCATACTGGTTCTTGGGCAAAGAAAGAAGTCCATGACTTCCTGGAATCGCGCTCCTTTGGAGCTGCTGAGGCCCCTGAGAGAGAATATTCTCTCCTGCACACACCCCTTCTCCTGACTCGGTAGATAATGCTTACCAGTGTGGACTGGCCTAACATAGGGGGCAAGAGCTTGGCTCCTGGGTACCACTGTCGCTAGGGTCTTTTTGTATTCATGAGGAACACTTTCAAACTCTGATGACAAAGGCAAAACCAACATGGGATGTGTTTGTGGGGTAAGGGACCTCAAAAGCTTCCAAATTGGCTCCTTGGAAGGAAAGGGGAGAAGGATTTGGAGAACAAGTCTTGCTTGGGGGCGGGGCATCTTGGATTCTCCCCTCCGCTCCCCACTCCCTTTAGCCAGTCGGCTGTCCTGAAACCCAGAAGTGATGGAGAGAGACCAGCCAGAGATACACTGTCTGGAAGGAATGTATTTGTTGCGAAATTTTGTAGCACTGTTTACAGTTTTCCTCCATGTTATTTATGAATTTTATATTCCGTGAATGTATATTGTCTTGTAATGTTGCATAATGTCCACTTTTTATAGTGTGTCCTTTATTCTAAACAGTAAAGTGGTTTTATTTCTATCACACACCTGCTTGTCTCTTGCCTTGTTGTGTTCCGAACGGCCGTAGGGTGGGGGTTTCTGGGCAACGGAGACCTATGCAAGCCTGACATGCTTGCCCTAGATCTAGACTTGGCGGGGGGGAATCTAATGCACCTCATGTTGTGTATGTTGAGTTAGAAATTGATCCACAGCTGCGCCTCCAGTTGGCTTTCAGAAGCAGTTAAATCTCACGGGAGGAAGAGTGTCCATCTTCATCTTGCAGACCAGCCTGAACTGTGTACGTTTGGGGCGCCAGTCCAGGGCATCTCCTTACCAGTAGGCATGTAAACTAGTTGCCACCCTCTTTCAGCCCTTTGCAAGGACAGGAGGAATTTCAGGAGAAATATCCAAGCTTTCCTCCTGGTGGCTAAACTGGTCCTGACCTTGTTCCCTGAAGCCAGGATTCTCCCCTGATTCTATGAAATCTGTGTCATAGTGACACACTTGGCATCAACACGAGTCAGAACCGACTCAGTGATGGCAACTAGTTAACTGGTTATCTGATCATCTGTGGGAGGTGCACGGCCCCCAGAAACAAGGCCTTGATTTGACCTTGCTTATTTTGCCCTAAAGCATCTCAAGCCGGTGGGGTTGGGAAGGAGGGCCTGGTTGAGTTGGGAATACCGGACATTAATAAGCCACATCAAAGCCAGTGACCCTCTCCCGGAACTCAAAGCTGGGCCTGTCAGCCTCAATCAGCTGGGCTGGCTTCACAGCTCTTAACTTTCAACCCACTGTTGACTATTAAATTCCAACGTGCAGGTCTTAATCCTAGTCTAAAGCTATCACGTTTTGAGCAAGGTGGCTAAGTGAGAGGTGGTTGGTTTGAAGCTGCACAGAAGAGGTGGCTGCACAGAAGAAAGCCTGGCAATGCCCTTCTGTAAAGATCAACCAAACCGTTACTCTCGAGATGATAGTACTTGATTGTGATCTTACACAACAGAGACAAATCGCCGCACAGGGTTGCCAGGGCAGTTTGCTGTGTGCAGGGAAGATGGATTACATCTTTCTCCCATGCAGCAGCTGGTGGGTTCACACCTTTTAGCTGAACACGCTTGATCATTGCGTCCTGAGGGCTCAATCTATTAAGGCTACAGTCATGAAAACTGGGACACCTCCACTCCATCACAAGGAATCATCCTAGTTGAAATCGACTCATTGGCACTTAAAAACACACTTTGAGTACTATTTTATGGCATGTACAGTGCCTTGTACACGGGGTCGTATTAAACCTCTACATTCTGATGAACATACTGCACGCTGGCTGTCAGGTGAGAAAGCGAAGGCTTGTGGAGAAGCTAATCCTCCGCCCCACCATCACCTGCCATGGAAATGAGCCTGGCTCGTGGACGCCTCCTGTGTGTCAGGATAGAACTGTGGTTCATGGGGTTTTCAAGTAGCTGCTTTTTATTCCAAATCACCAGGCTTTTCTTTGAAGGTAGTTGTAGGCTGGCTAAGATCTTTCAGTTTTCAGTCAGCAGCCATGCATGTTTACCACCTGCAATCTTAAGAGGTTTCTACTGCCCAAAGTAGACATCGAGTAAAAAACAGGCACATCTGGGACTGAGATCCAGGCCAGCCTGACGATAAGCCCCACATTGTGTTCATGCTTGAACAGAACAGACTGTGTTCCAGATGTGCCCTTATTATCCAAACCAGCACATTGTTGGTCCCCATGACTCCCTATGGATCGGGCATAATGGAATGAGACGTGGAAAGAAACCCTCACTTCAGGGACCGGGATAATTGGGATGGGAGTGTCAGAGACAGCGCGATTGGCACAGGACAGAGCAGAGTTTAGGGCTGTTGTACATAGGGTCACTATGAGTCGCAAGCGACTCGACAGCACATAACAACAACAACAACAACAACCTGGTAAAGTAGCTCCCACCAGATCTATGTCACCAGCCTGCTCTCAGGATTACACGAAAGGCCCATGCTCCCAAACTGGAATAATAGGGTATGCCATTAACTATTAGGGTGCTCTGATGGCCTAATTCATAGGGAGATGCTCACATAAAGACGTCACCTCCACAATGGCTGGAACCCACCAGTGGCTCCAAAGGAGAAAGAAAGATGGATAATCTCCCACGTGATCCATAAAGTCAGACACTCAACTGAGGGTCAGCTATGAGTGGGTTCTGCCCCTATAGCAATGAGGTTGGGTTTTTTGGGGGTTTTGTTTTTGAGATAAAACAGAGCATGAAAAACAGGGGGCCAGCAGTTCTATAGGCTGAAGACCCCCATTCCAGCTTCCCTGCATCTTTATTGAAAATTACCAGGAAGTAAATCACAAAGAGAATTCAATGCAAACGAAACCAAGCTCTTTCTATTGAAAACCTTCTGCTTGACTCAGGAGGGAGGGGTTAGCAAATGCAAGAATCTGGTAAACCCCTAAGGATTGCCTGGGTGCCTCAGGGTGAACTCGAGCTTCTACCACACCTCCCCCACATCCTGATAGCTTTAGGTTTCTTACAAATATTTAATATCGGCTTCCCATAGCAGGATATAAGATCAATATCCAAAATTCAATAGGATTTCTCTACAGTAACAAAGAAGAACTCAGAAGGAAATCAATAAAGTAAGACCATTTACAATAGTCAACAACAAATTGAGATAATTGAGAGTGAACCTAACTAGAGATACAAAAGACCTACACAAAGAAAAATACAGAGCATTTCTGTAAGACACATTAAAAAAGACCTAAAGAAAGTGGGGAAAATGTGCCCTGTTCATGGATAGGAACACTCAATATTGTGAAAATGACAATCATACCAAAAGCAATCTACATGTTCAATGCAATCCTGTCCCCTCACTAATTCAGATACCAAATTCTTTTTTATTAAATTTAAATTTATTATTAATTTCAGTAAAAATTTACAGAGACTTTGGATTTCCATTCATCTCCATCTGTTGTTGCACTTTTCTCCTCTCCCAACTTTCCCCCCTAGTACACTACCCTCCTGGAAAAGTAAAATTCTTTCATTGTTTTACAATCCCTCCCCCAGGTCCACTCCACCATGTAGCCTTCACTCTAGGCTCCTGTCATGACACAAATACCTAATCACATATCCCTTTTAAGCAGTTTTCTCCCTCCTCTGTTTCAGTGCAGTATACTTATTGAACCCATCTTTCTCAGTCTCTCCCCAACCCTGATGTCAGTCCTGTCTTACAGTAGTGGTACCATGCAGTATTTGTCCTTTTGTGACTGAGATACTTCACTCAGCATAATGTCCTCCAGGGTCACCCATTTTGAATAATATTGCATGAGTTCCTTGCTTTTCAATGCAGCGTAGTATTCCATTGTGTGAATATACCACAGCTTCTCTATCCATTCATTTGTTGATAGGCGCTTAGGTTGTTTCTAACTCCTTGCTATTGTGAAAAAAGCCACGATAAACATGGGTGTGCATAGCAATGAGTTTTTAAAAATTATTATCAACATCAATAACTTCTCCAACAGGGAAAAAAGGAAACAGTCTCACAGACTTGAGAAAAAATATTTGACAATGACATCTCTGAAAAAGGACTCATATCTAAAATTTATAGAGCACTCCAGCACTCCTCAAAAAGAGAAAGATAAACATCCACAGGATATGAAAAGACATTTCGCCAAGGAAGACATTCAGATGGCAAACAAACACATGAAGAAATGTTCAAAATCTCTAACTATCAGAGAGATAGATGTAAATCAAAACAACTAGGAGATATCATCTCACCTCCACCATCAAGAGCAAAGTTGAATGAACAGAACAGCAAACAACAAATGCTGGTCAGGTTATGGAGAGATTGGAACTCTTATTGACTGCTGGAGGGATTGTAAAATGGTGCAACCACTATGGAAGGTATTTGGCCCTTTCTCAAAAAGTTGGAAATAGGGAGTTCTGGTGGCCTAGTGGCAAGAAGCTGCACTGCAATCCCAGAGGTACACGGTTCAAATCCACCAGATGCTCTGCTGGAGAAGGAAGGGCAATCTCCTCCTCTTATCAGTCAGATCTGATTTGATGGTTGTTGTTGTTGTTATGGGCCATGAGTCGCTTGCGATTCATAGCGACCCTATGTATAGCAGCTCTAAAGTCTGCTATGTCCTCTTCCAATCGCACTGTCTCCAAAACACCCATCCCGATTACCCCAGTCACTGAATCAATCCACTTCATAGAGGGCACACACACAAAAATAATAATTTTTTTTTAAGTTGGAAATAGATATACCCTTTTATCCAGCAATTCCACTGCTGGGAATACATCCTCAAGAAACCAGAGCCATGACTCAAACAGATAATATGCACACCCATGTTTATTGCTGTGTTGTTCACAATGAGACAGAAGCAGCCCAAGTGCTCATCAACAAATGAATAGAGGGAAAAACTATGGTATAGTCACACAGTGGAAAACTACACAGCACTGAAAACAATGAACTCATGAAACATTATACAACATGGGTGACTGTGGAGGACATTAGGCTGAGTTAAATATCTTAGTCACAAAAGGACAAATACTGCATAACTTCATTGTTATAAAGCAGGACTGACATGGGGGGCTGATGGGAAACTAGCAAAAGCGTAGAGAGATTTTAAACAAAATGAACAGATGAAGGAAAGAACTATTTAAAAGGAATATATGAGTAGGCATTATACATATGACAACAGTCCAGAATAAGAGGTGCATTGCAAAGTGGACTGGGGGGGAATGGAGAGGGAGGGAGAAAATAGTGCAATAATGAATAATTTTTTTAAAAAGGAACTGAGAGAGGGGGAGTGAGGAAAATGTGCAACAACAAATGAATGAAAATCCAACTTTTCTGTAAACTTTCATTAAAATCACAATTTTTTAAAGGTATAAAAATTATTATTAAATCTATTTGCTGAGACGTCTAATTCCAAAAGCAATTATGAGGCTAGAGTCCTGCATTCCTTAGACCAGTTTAAGAAGATCACTGAGCACACACACAGGCCCTGAGCACATTCCCAGACACCTCCATCCCCACAGGTTTCTGCGGCCGAGTATTTGTTCTGGATCCCCTCCGAGGAGACGTTAACCTCTCCCACCCAGGTGTTCTCCCGGTGGGAAGCTATGCCACACACTCGAGCGAGCGAAGCTGAAACCACTTCACAGAGACGACCTCAGGTCTCCTCCAAAGGTGTAATGTGAAAAGGACACACAAGCAAACTGCCCTTTGATAATCGGCGCAAAGAAAATATTACTGACTTCAGTGAAATAGAAGTTGAAACCAGGTCCTACACAGACTCAAGAGAAATAATGTCCCACCTCTGAAACGGCTTTTATCTTTGCTCTAAACCTCTGACTTCAAGAGTCAGTGAATCTCTCTGCCAGCTGACATTGGCTCCTGATTTGCCAAACATTCCTTTAGCCCCAAGGAATGTTGTCCACTGTCACCATTTACACAACCACATGGAATTTCACCTGGAGAGAGAACTCTTTCTCTAGAAATGTTATTCATCCCCGAGACACTCTATTCTTACTTAGATTCGAGATGCCTAGGGAGTTGTCCTTGACTCCAACTCCTCCATCCGCAGGACCTGAGGACACAAGATGTCCATGCTCGATCGCTCTTTGCAAAAAATAAACACAATAAAACAAGGGCACTCACCATTGGCTTATGGTTGGGGAAGAACGTTTGCTCCACAAGTGGGAACTTCTCAGGGCCCAGGGAATGGAAGATCTTAATAAGCTGAGAGAACTAGAAGAGGAGAGAGAGAATACTGGTCAGTTGTTATTATCCAGTCAGGGGAAAGCTCCCACTCCATCCCACAAGCATCCAACTCTTCTGATTCTGCCGACTATGGATTGAATTACGCTCCCCTTAAAAAACCCTTTATGTGTCATCTTGACTAGGCCATGCCATGATCTTCAGTATTATATAAATCCCTCTAATTTGTAGGAGAGCTCAAGTGCCCTAGTGGAAAGGAGCGGTGCTGCCAACCCAAAGGCATGTGGTTTGAATCCACCTGCTACTCTAAAGGAGAAAGATGGGCAGCCTTCTCCTGTATGATTTACTGCCTCTGAAAAACTTACTAGAGAACAAAATATGAGTTGGTTCCAACTCAACAGTATATAACGACTCCATTTGTGAGCTGATGTAAATATCCTTTGTGTTGTAGTAAATTCTAATGTCTAATGGAGCTTTGGTGGTGTAGGGTTAAGAAGCTGTGCTGCAATCCCAAAGGCACACAGTTCAAATCTACCAGCTGTTCTGCAGGGGAAGGATGGGCAATCTCCTTCTATGCGATTAACTGTCTCTGAAAACCCGCTGGAGGCTCGGAACCACTTCGGGTTACCCAACGACATGATGTGAATATTGGGGTTTGAAGACCTGTCATTTCAGAAGTAGGTGTCCCGCCCTGCTTTTTAATCTTAGTCTGGAAGCTCTGCTGAGACTTGTCCACCATCAGTGACTTGCTGATATTTTAAATACCAGTGGCAAAGCTACTCACTTCACAGCCACATGCAAGCCAACATAGTATGGCAAACAGAGGAGTGATGGTCTGTCCGTTTAAAGACTAAGGTGCACCTGATCCCAGCCGTATTGTCAATTGCTTCTTACGCACCTGAAAATTTGACAATGAATAAGGAAGACTGAAGAATTGGTGCCTTTGAATTGTGCTGTTAGAGTCGTGAATATAGTATGGACTGCTGGAAGAGACAGCAAATCCGTCTTGGGAGAAGTACAACCAGGGTGCCCCTTCGAGGCAAGGATGGCGAAACTCCATCTCATGTATTTTGGGCATAGTGCCAGGGGTGGCTAGTCTTTGGAGAAAGACGTCAGATGGGAAAGGTCAGGATAAGAGAGGAATACTCTGAATGAGATAGACTGATACAGTGACTAAAGCACTGTGCTTGAGCATGGGGTGGGGACTGTGAGGATGGTGCAAGGGTCAGAGCTGTTGTTCCTCAGTTGTGGTCAGCTCAACGGCACATAACAACATCATCCCATTTTATACACATTAATTGGTTATACCACCGAAAACCCCAACGCTGCCATGTTGATTCTGACTGTAAATGTTACCAGGGACAGACTACTTCATCTTAGTCCCGAGGAGTGGTTGCAGTAGGGGGTCAGGTCGGAATCAGCATGTGTTGTTGTTGTTGTTGTTAAGTGCCATTGAGTCACAGGCGACTCATAACGACCCTATGAATGAAAGTCCTCAACACTTGAGGACTTTCATCCTTTCTCCAGGTTCATAGGGTTTCTGGAAGCAAGCTATTTATGGAAGTGGATGCCACTCCTGCTTCCGAGCTTGTTTTAATCAGGGAGCTCCACAAATCACTGTCCACCATGGGTAACCACTCTGGCAGTTGACTCATCAGTGTCACAGTGTTCAGCTTCACAGCAACCACAAGTTACCTCTGCATAGCAAGTGGACACACCAGGGTTATACGACCTAGAAGAATGTTTGACCAAAACCAGTTAAAAACAGGCCTGAGGGCTGTGGTCGTCATATTGTTGTTGTTGTGTCTGTTGAGTTGGAAGCGACTCATAGCATTAGAACTCATACTCTTACCTACTGCTCCACATGACTAGCTGGTCAGTGAGTCAACATGGCGAATGGTCACCTTACCATCCCCCACCAGCCTCTGCATTTCCTTTCCCTTTCCGGGCTTCATTTTCCCCTTGGAAAAATAAGGTCTCAACCAAGTGCTCCTTAGAGGGAAGAATGGTAAGACTCCGTCTCACATTCTCTGGACATGTCAGAAGGGGCCAGTCCTTGAAACAAGATCTCATGCTGGGAAGGTGGAGGGTCAGAGGAAGAGGAGGAGACCCTCCACGAAATGGATTGACACACTGACTGCATTAATGGCTTTGAGCACAATGAGGATCATGAGAATGGTTCAGATCTGCTGTTTGTAGAGTCACTAAGAGAATCAGTCAAGAACAACATATTATATCATCTTATGACTACATCATCGTATGATGTTACACATTTATTAACATATTCTTTAATAGAATGCATGCAGCCTCCCAATAGAATTAAAGATAGGTGGGGGTGGACATGATGGTCAGTGTTGTTCACGGCTCTATTTCTAGGACCTAGAACAATGATAATAGAACATAACATACACTGAGAATATGACAACTGAGGCACAAACTGAGATTTGCACACCAGTGTTCATAGCAGCACTATTCACCATTGCAAGAACATGGAAACAGCCCAAATGTCCAAACACAAATGAATGGATTGAGAAATTATGGTACATTCACACAATGGAATACTATGTAGCACACAGAAACAATAACTTTGCAAATTATTATCTAACTTGGGAGGGACTGGAGAGCATTATGCTGAGTGAACTAACTCAGTCACATAAGGATAAATATTGTACAAAACCATTATTGTAGAATGAGTATAAGGATCCAGGAGGGTGGGAGTGGCTGGAAGCAGAAGGATGTGGATGTGCAGGGGGGAGGGGGTAAGTAATCATTGGGTTGTTCAATTTGACAGAGGGGTGAGGGAAATGGAAAGAATTTGTATTTGAATTTTGTAAATAAACTAATGGAAAACTTTTAAAAAAAATTAAAAAATTTAAAAACAGAACATAACAGATGTCAATAAATATTTGTTATGTAAATCAATGACTTAAGGGCCAAGGAAAGATAACAAGCAATTAAATTTGTAATTATAAATGCTGAAATAATAAATCTTTGCAATTTATTCTAAGCATGTAAATACTGAACTACCATGTAATTATCGATCCTTAAATATGTAATTATAGAATTAAATACATAATTATGAAAATAAGTGTGTAATTCTTGGTTTGTTTCTGTTCCTACAGATGCCATCGGGCCAGCTCCATTCACAGTGAACCATGAGCCGCAGACCCAACCCTGCCTGCTCCTGTGCTGTCTGCAGCCTTTGCTGTGTTCAAGCCAGTTACTGCAGTCACTATACCAGTCCATCTTGTTAAGGGTCTTCCACTTTTTTCTGGCTCACCACCTTTTATCATCATTTAAAGTCTTTCCTCCTGAGGGCCTATCTTACGGCACTATGTCATACTATACTCCACTGCTATTCTTGGCATCTTTAAGGGTCCAGTGTTTCATACAAAGGGGAGCCCTGGTGAGCATAATTGATAGAGAGTTGCACTATTAACCCAAAGACCAAGCTTCTCTAGTGGTTCCAATCCACCGGTGACTCCACGAGATCAAGATGGGCAGTCTCCTCCTGTGTAATTTATTGCCTTGGAAACCCAACAGTGAGTCAGCTTTCAGTAAGTCCTGAGCTGAGGATCAAGAGGGAGAATGAGAGGGTTGTTTCAGAAATAAACGGTGGAGCCTCCTGCATAGTCTGTTTCAATCTGGAAGCCCTGCTGAAACCTGCCACGATGGGGAATCTTGGTGCTTGAAATACCAGTGGTATAACTTCTAGCATCACAGCCTCACGCCAGCCACCGCAGCACAGTGAACTTACAGATGTTGTTATTGTTGCCGTTAGGTGCTGTCAAGAGAAGCAGGACTCATAGCAACACTGTCAATAACAGAGCTGGACCGTGTCTTATCTTTTGTCATCCTCACAATCTCTGACACCCTCAAGCGCACTGCTGCGGTCACTGTCAAACACCTGCTTGGGGGTCTTTCTCTCCTTCACCGTCCTTCTATTATCCCAAACATGCTGTCCGTCTCCAAGGAACAATCTCTCCTAGCAACATGCCCAAGTAACAGATGAGTGGAGGCTAATTCTAGGTAGACATAAGGATTTGGAGATAAAATAAAGCAGGATAAGTGATTCAAGAGGTAACATTTGAACAGACACAAATAAATACATGCAGGAAACAAATGAACGTAAGAATCTTGTCTTGGGGCTGGAGAGAGGAAAGAGATGAGCTGGTTTCCCCATTCCCTGGCTATGAGTTGCTGGGCAAGTTACTCAATAATTTTGAATCTGAGGCTTTGCCTGTAAGATAGGACAACAAAGACCATCTCATGAGGTAGGCATGGTTTCCTGGTACATAGTAAGTACTAATGAAACTGTTAATGACAGCCACAGTGATGGCAGGAAGTTCAATAAGGATGGCATCCACTTTTATCCCTGGTATCACGCCTTTCATTCATAGGGTCTCTATGAGTCGTCTACTACTCAACGGCACCTAACAACAATAAAAACGACAACATAGAGAGAGCTATATTGGCCTAGTGGAAAGAAAGTTATGCTACCAAGTCCAAGGTGGGTGATTTTAATCTGCAGCCCTCAGGCCTGGTTCAAATTGTTTTTCTGTCAAACATTCTTCTAGGTGGTATAGCACTGGTCTGTGCATTGCTGTACAGAGGTAACTCATGATTGCTGTGATGCTGAACACTGTGACACTGATGTGCCAAATATGATAATGGTTACCCACGGTGGACAGTGTTTGGTGGAGTTTCCCAATTAAAACAAGCCTGGGAGCAAGAGTGGCATCTACTTCTGAAATGGCTTGCCTCTAGAAACTCTATGAAGAGTGCTCAGGCCTTTTGTTCATAGGGTTGCTATGAGTAATCTACGACTCGATGGCACCTAACAACAACATTGTAACACTATACTATAATCTATAATTAGATAGTATTGGTTAACACTGATGGCAAGGATCCAAGGTGTTTTATCAGTTCCCTGACTCGGACTCTTCTCATCACCGAGACGTCTACATGACAGGTATCTACTGCCTTCCAGGCTCTTCCAGAACAGACTGGCCCATTACCTACCACCCAGGGCTTGCTGCAGAAGTTGTAGACGGAGTAGAGGGAGTTGACAGAGGGCAGCCCTCCATACTGGAGGCCGATGACCAGGCTGCGGTAGTCTTCCCCCAGGGCCATGCTGTAGGCATGCTGGCGCACCAAGATGAAGTCTGGCTTGAAGGACCTGCAGAGAAAGAAGTGAAGAGTGGCATTACTCACCACCCTGGTACATGGATGGAGCCTCAATGTACTGGGTGTGCTGCTGGGACGGTGTGATCACTGTCTGCAGGGAACGTCCTTTGTTTTGTTTCAGGGTTTTATTGGCTTTTGGAGGTTTTTTTTCCTCCTTTTATTACTATTATTATTGGTTTGTTTACAAAGTTCATATACATTATGTTTCACACTATCCTTTGTTCACATTGTGTTTCATACACTCATTCACATGCATTGTGTTTTATAAAACTAATCACCACTGGACCTTGGCCGTCATTACCCTGCCTTCTCACCCGGGTCCTTCCCATTTCCTTCCCCACCTCCCTCCACCCCCATACCATGACACTTTGTGGTTTCACTCCTACTCATCCTCACAGCTCTGCTCCCACCTCTTTCCCCCTTAAGCTCCATAACTTGGGAGAGACTGAAGGGCATTATGCTGAGTGAAACCATTACTGTCAAAATCGATAACTAGGAACTTTCTTGAAGATGTTGTTGTTGTGTGCCTTTGTGTAAGAACTATACCATAGTTGATTCTCCAGTGGGTTTTCAGAGGGTTTCACATGGGAGGAGACTACCCATCCTTCTCCCACAGAGCAGCTGGTAGACTCAAACCCCATGCCTTTGGCATTGCAGTGCAGCTTCTTCTCACTAGGCCACCAGAGCACCTTTAACACAGGTGGTGTAAAAGCATGATAAGGAGGGTCAGAGACCAAGTGCAGCCATTGTGGTGTTATGTGCTGTCAAGTAAGCTGTGGACTCCCAGCAACCCTGAGTGTTAGAGTAGAATTGCCCATGGGGTTTTCTTGGCTCTAATCTTTATGACAATGTTTATATTTGTCAGATTTTCTCCTATGGAGAGAGCCACCTATCTTTTAGTTAGCAGCCCTAACACTTCATCATTGAGTCATCAGTATTCGTTACAGTACAGCTCAACCAACCAAATCAAGCCCATGGCTGTGGACTCAGTTCTAGCTTATATTAACCCCACAGGACAGGGCAGAGCCAACTCACATTTCCCTAGGTGCTACTATTTTTTATTAATATTTTCCCATCTTTTATTGTGATTTGAGTAGAAGTTTACAGAAAAAATTGGTTTTCCATTCCACAATTATTACGCTTTATATTTCCTGACTATGATTATAATCCCCACATTGCAATAGCACACTTTCATTTCTGCACTGTGTTCCCTACTTCTATTCATTCTTCTTCCTATCCCTTCCTGCTTTCTGAGGTGTATCCCTGAGCAAATGCCATTTTAAGGAGTGCAGTCTTCGCTAGTGATGTTGATCACCTTATTGGCCTGTCTATTGTTTCACTGTCAATTCAGACATGGAGGTTATTTCAATTCCAGGCTTAAAGGATGACCACAGTCTTAAGGATTCCAATAGTCTCTGAACGCAGCACATGAGGCATGCTTCAGGATTCTGAGTTTCGTTCTACATTTCCCTTACTCTATTTGAACTCATCCACTGTGATTCCTCTCAGTGTGGTCAGCAGTGGCAGCTGGGTGTCTTTTGGTTCTTAGTGTCAAGGCTGTGGAGACTGACATTCACATGGTCTCCACAGTTTACCAACATCAACTAGACCTTTGAACCAATGGTTTTCATTTTCTTCACTTTCCTTTGCTCCAAATGGGGAATGACCAATGTTGCAACTTAAATGACTGCTTGAAAGCTTTTAAGACTGAAGTTACTACTTACCAAAGTGGTATAGAGAATATTGTCTTTGTTACTATGTTATGGCAATTGACCTTGGTATGCCCAAGACTATTACTGTCCTGAGCTCCTAGGCCCAACAACACATTCCCTCAAGGTATTTGTTGTTGTTGTTGTTGTGGTCAGGTGCCGTCACAGTGACCCTACAATCAACAGATCTGAACCCTGTCCTATCCTGTGCCATCATCATAATCTCTGACACATTACAGCCCATTGCTAAAGTCACTGTGTTCATCTTATTGGGCTCTTCCTCTCTTCGCTACCTCTTATGTTTACAAGCATAATGTCATTTTCCAAGAAATGGCTTTGCCTTGTTTGTGTCCAAAGTAAGGTGTTTCGTTCTGGCTAAAAAAGGTTTTCATAATTTTGTTTCCTGTGTGTGTGTGTGTATGTGTGTGTATACGTGTATATATATACACACATATATACATATATATATTTGTAGTATATACAAATTAAGATGCAGAAATACCATCTGTCAAACCTTTAGAGTCATGAGTTTATTCTCATTTACCTACACATAACTATCTGTTCAACTTAACTGTGACAGGCTGCAATCTTTACAAAAGCACATCAGTAAGTCTTTCTCCCAGGGGGCTGTTTGATGGATTTGAACTGCTCACATTTCATTTAGCAGCTGAGGGCTTAACTAGTATACCACCAAGTTCTTTAGTTAGTCTTTTGTTTGAAGCTAAGTTACTGACTTTGGATGGCCCAAATAACTCTTACCATTTTGGGCAAGGAGTTCATGGCTATAAAGTAAAAAAGAAAAGAAAAAAAATCCCCTTCCTTTTGTGTTTCTTGCTGTTGGCGGCTGTTTTCTAAATGTTCCTACAATGAAATTTATTTCCTTTTTGATAACCAAAAATACATATCAAATATCTAGCAAGTCTACAGAAGATGAAATGATTTCTGAATTTTTCACCTTTAAGTCCCATGAGAAAATCAACCTCACCTCATGGTAGCCCAAATGATTTTGCCCAAAATGATTAGAGTTATTTGGGTCATCCAAAGCCCAAAAATAGCTTCAAACAAAAGGTGTTTTTAACAAAGTCCACAAAGACAATATTCTACATCTTACTTCGGTGAGTAATGACTGGGGACTTGTGAACCTTACCTAAGGTACAACTATTAGTCTCTTCATGTTTCAAACAAAGAAAAGGGAAGAAACACAAAGATGCACTGAGAAGTCTAAAGAATGAATGGACCCTGGAAACCTCAACTCCTGATACCATCCTGCTACGATCCTGATACCAGAAGAACTCGATGGTGCCCAGCTAACTCCACTGATCATTCTAAAAAGGGATCACAATAGAAGTTCCTGGACAGAGTGGAGGAAAATGTGGAACAAAATACAAGAAATATTTTTAAAAAGACAGGCTCATTGTTCTGAACAATGCAAAGGTATGTAGTTCAAATGCACCAGCTTCTCTGCAGAAGAATCCTGGGCACTCTCCTCCAGAGCAATTTACTGCCTGTTGCACAGCCTGCTGGAGGGCCAGCAATGAGTCAGCTCCTGATGGTACACAACAACAACAACAATGACAATAAATGGTTAACATGCATGAAAAACAGAACTAGTTTTCAGTCTTTGTCTGATTTAAAAAGTAATATATGTAAAAGTGCTAAAAAATCCTTGAAAAACAGAAAGGAAAACTATCAATAGTTCTGTAACTCAGAGAAAATCCCAATTAAAGTTATAGCTATTTCTTTTTATGTACGTGATTATTCAGTTATCTACTTGAGTGCCTTTATTATATTCTCACAATTGTATTTCCTATTCTCCAAGAATTATTTTTTTTGTTTTCCATAAACTTTGAGCGTGCTCTCTATTATGAAAATATTTTCAAAACCATCATTGCTGATGGTTACATAATAGTCCCACCACTTTTCTGTCAGTTTGTTGGAGAGCTGTGGCCTGTGTGCAGCTGTGATGCTGAAAGCCAAATCACTGGTTTCAAGAGTGGAGAGAGATTCCCAACAACCCTACTTGCTCAATGAGAAGCTGAAGTGAAGAATTTTTTTTTTATTTTTTTTTAATTATTTTTGTGTGCATGTACCGTCAAATCAGATCCGACTGGTACAGGAGGAGATTGTCCTTCCTTACCCGGCAGAGCATTTGGTGGATTCGAACCGTTCGCCTCTGGGATTGTAGTTGCAGCTCCTTGCCACTAGGCCACCAGAGCTCCCCTTGAAGTGAAGAATTTACTGATGAAGATCAAAGCCTCCATCCTTGTAAATGGATTCTACCTTAACATAAAGAAGCACAACTCTCAAACTGAGCCAACAAGCAACACCATGACAATTGGAGGAGAGATGGACGTTGTCAGAGATGTCACTTTCCTTGGAGCCATAAGCAGAGCTCGTGAAAGGAGCAGCCAGATATGCAGATGGACAAATGTGCTGCAAAAGTCCTCTTCAGAGTGTCCAGAAGCAAAGGCTTTACTCTGAGCAGCCAGGTGTACCTCACCTGAGCCATGGTGAGCGAAAGCTGGAAAATGAAAATGCAAGACCAATGAAGAAGGGATGCATTTGAAACTATGGCGTTGGCAAAGAACAGTAAACACAATATGAGCTTCCAGAAGAATGATTGCAACTGTGTTGGAAGAAATACAGACAAGAAGTTCTTTTAGAAACAAAGAGAGTAAGACTTGGTCACGTGGACTTTGGCATGTTATCAGAAAGAACGAGTCTCTGGAGAAAGGCGTCATATTTGGTGGACTCAGTGCAGAAGAAAGCCTTCCAGGGTGGATTGGAACAGTGGCTGCAACAATGGACTCAAATGCAGCAAAGACTGTGGGGACAGCACAAGACCAGCAGTGCATGATTTCATTGCTGTTCTTAGTCAGATCTAAAAAAAAAACCCCACATAGTGCTGCACTAACAGACAGGCCATGTTAATTCCAATCATCATCTACTGTATATTAATAATCAGGTTGCTTCTAATATTTCACACATACACTTTGCTTGGCTCTACAATCAACACTCTTGGTACCAGCAGCCAGGAAATCAAAAGACGAAAGTCTGCTGTCAGAGACCTCTCCAAAGTACTGAAAAGCAATGATGTCAATCTGGAGACTAAGGTGTGCCTGATAAAAGCCATGGTCTTTGCAATTACTTGATATGCATAAAAAAGCTGGAAAATGACTAGGGAGGATAGAAGGAGAGTTGAAGTCTTTGAGCTGTGGTGCCGGAGAAGAGTATTAAATATACCATGGACTGCTAGGAGAACAAACAAGTTTGTCCTGGAGAG